GGTGTGTTTGCTCGGTTAGGAGGAGAGGGAGAGGCGAGCCGAGGCGAGGATCGAGCCCACGTAGAATAGTCTCGCCAGATATGGCGTGTGCCTGTGCCGCGGCCACCACCACGGTTATCGTCGTCGCCACCATCGCCGTCACCGTCATCGTCCTCTTTGCTCGTTCTCCGTTGCGGCTCTACACCCGGCTGATCCCCCTGCCGGTTTAAGGAGAACGATTAGACCAGTCGCGAAACGGGACCTGGATCGACATTTTTTTCTTCGCCTCAATTTGGTCCTTGTTTCTCGCATACAAGCGCGTATACACGACTCGTTCAACGTTCTCGATCATCGAGAACGCGCCTCGTATCTTCGGACTATCTATTGTTCCCGCGGTATCGCTACAACGGACCTGTCGGGTCGAAATAACGCCACGAATCTTTTGTTCGTTTAAAAATCGTACGAACGCCCGAGGGTACACCGGTTAATGGAGAACTCGGTCCGCAGCGAACGCGGAGAGCAGGGAAAAGGTTCTACTCGAGTAATCGAAGACCGAGAAATTATAGTGTCAGATATCCCTTGTTGCTCGCCACTCGTGGAAATCATTATCGTTGGATTTATGATTCTTTAAACGATCGATCAGGTGAGACGCGGCTGTACGTGTCGGTTCTTCGTTTCAGTTTCGTCGTGCACGCCGATACGATACCGCTGAATTTTCGTCCCGCCTCACGGTGACTGTTCTCTTCCCTCCGGTGTCCGTCGTTCTTTCCTTGTTTCGTTCAGTCACGGTCGCTCGCGACCTCGTATCTTTATTCGGTCATGAAGGCAACGAGAGCGGTTGCGTGTATATTCACGCCGGTGATCGGTACGACGACGCCGACGCTGGTCGTCGCTGAACGTTCCGGGGGGAAGTTGCAACCCTTTTTAGCTAGAGGGTATACGCGTCGGAATAGTCGTTTTGACATAATTGCGAAAACTGGACTGACCTGTTTCGATACCTCTATGCTCGCTGGAGGACATCTTCTGCCGGTCTTATCTTTCGAGCATCGCATGCAATTCTGCCTCGACGTAATGATAAAATTGTCGCGGCGTAGAACTAGAGGGAAAAAGAGGAGAATAGAAAGAGTAGGAGAGATTAAGATCGAATCGTATCGAACGTTGTGTCTGCTAGCGCGAAGGACGTCGTTAGCTTTTACAGTTGCAGCTACCACGCTCGTAAACGCGGTCTCGTTACCGGCCACTGCGCTAGGATTCCATGTTTGAAATTTAATGGCTTCAATTAAAGAATAGGATCTTTGCTTTATGGGAACTCTCGAGGGACATCTCTCCGTCTTATCTCCATCTTAATTCACATCGAATGAGTTTATCTTTTGACAGATTTTCTTCGCCCGAGCTATTTCTAACTCAAAGTTTTCACAGACCGTGGCGAGGAAACGAGTCTGTACATGTGGCGAAGGAAGTCTCGATGGTGTCGTTCAAATGGTATAGTGTAGCGGCCAAGCTAAAAACGCGTCTACAGTTTCCGAGTGTGTCGCTTTTCGCTCGAGCATCGCTTTTTGCGGTTTCTCTTCCCTTCGTTTAGCCCGAAGACAGAGCATCGCGCTGCCTTTCAAACCGTAATACGCGTGACGCGCTTCTGGCACGCGTCGAAACCTGCACTTAACGAACCACTTGTGCCCCTAATATTACGTGCCAGCCAAGCGGATATTTATCCCTACGCGCGTAAAGATAATGCATGCGAGGCTCGTGCCGAAATACGCGTCGCTCTCATTCGCGCTCGTTGCCATCATTTCTCCGTTATTCCATGTACGAACGAATCTCTGTATCTGTAAACTATTCAGGATTAAGTCCGTTAACTATATATTTGCAATTGTAACGTCTATATTATCTATATTTTCTCGTAGACAATCGGTATGTACGAAGATAGACGCTGGATTAAGCTACGATGAAAGCGCGAATGCTCCTTCTTTTCCTCGTTTTAACGCGATCAAAGCGCATTCTCGCCTCGTCGCGAGAAGCAGCTCTTCCGACGTGAACGAATCCTATTTATTTGTATGTACATTGTACTTTTATTAGCAATCGGAATATGACGTATTCTGTGGTACAATGGTGGTATCTTAAAGAGCTGCTGGTATCTAAAATCTCGTCGACGAGGACTTCTGCGACGAGTAGATCTTCTCGTAAACGAATGTACGAACGCCGTTTAAACTAAACGAACACGAGCGAACGCTTGCTCGCTTGTTCTAAACTCAGCTTTACGAATCAACCATCCGAGAATCGGAATGCGTACACAAATAAGAATCTATGTATGTAGGTATTCGATTGCTCTCGAAATGACAGTTCGTCAGAACACGCGCACCCGCCGTAGCCTTGTCCGGCTAGGACAGAACAAAGACGAACGAAATTTGAATATCCAAGGACCTCCTTATTCCACGAGGATGCTTTTGTCCGACGGGAGAGACGAAGGATCGACTAGTCGGAATCGAAGGGAGGAACGAAGCGTGGACGACGCGGGGGCAGCGTGTTTACGGTAAAAGTCATCCAACCCGGGAGAGTATCGACCTCAACCTTCTCCTCGCGCGGTCGTCCCTCTCTCTGGACGCTCCAATTTCAAGGTCGCGACGCGTGGCAGACCGGACCGAAAATTTCCGCGAGATTCGCGTACTTCCGGCGTCGAAATCTGCCGC